GTGCTGGTGGCACATGGGTTTAGTTCACCGCTGGCCTTGGTTCGGCATTCCGAGCCTCCTTGTTTCGGGGCCTAAACTTCCCTGCTTTCCGTTGGTCTATCGTTGCGACAACGGCTCCCTTCCTACCAGCTCTCCACTTGTGGTTGGTGAGTCCGCACTGGGTGCAGCTTTTGTTTTCCCAGCATTGGTCGACCAAGTTTTGGGCTGTTCCTTTGTGAGCTTTCTTCCAGTCAGTGTGCGGTACCCCTGGGGTCTTGGTCCGTTTGTTGGTTTGGGCGAACCTTGCTGACTTGAAGTTCCCAGGTGCTGTTTTCCTCTGGAACTTGCTATGTCGCCCTTCTTCCTTTCCTCGCTTAGGCTCCTTTTCTCTGTCCTCCCAGCATGGTTTCAATGGCCCAGAAGAACTCGACGAGCTGGATGGATTGTTTCGTCGTTACCGTTCGCTGTCGAGGAAAGCCTGCTCCTGGTTGCCGACCACTCGAAGGTGCTCCAGCCATTCGGCATCGGTGTCGTATCGCTTATGAGACAACCGTCTCAGTATTGCCTCCGGTAGTCGGTCCTCGCCTATTTTCCTCCCTGCTATTCCCAGAAGCTTGGCCTTGATGTTCAAGCTTTCCATCTGCAGAAGGTACTCGTCGATGTCCTTCGCATACTTGATTTTTCACATCTGGGCCAAAGCCTTCCGGTCCTCATTGATCGGTGAGAACCACACGATGATCTCATGCTGAAACTGTTCCCATGTTAGCAATTCAGGACGAGCGGTATACCCTTCGAGCCCCTCCATGCTCTTCCTATACCAGTTGCTAAAAGGGGTCATATTGGCACCCTTCGTCCTTCCCAAGGGATATATAATCCTATCTTTGTCCTCCATCTACGGCATGGGATTTTGGCTAAAGTAGTCCTAGCACGCGTGCAGCCAAGTCTTTATATCCTGGTAGGACTTTGCTTCATATACGAATGGAGGGTCGGCTGGCTTCTTCTGATGTAGTGCAGTTTGTCGGGCCAGCTCCTTGACTAACTGCAACATCATTTCATGTTCCTCCTCTTCCTTTGCTGTCCACGGTCTTCCTAGGGGTAATGACCCTGGCCGGCGGCTAGGTCCTTCACCACTATTGTCCCACCTATCATCTCCTGGGTCTGGGTCTCCTGCTCCTCCGGCCATATTTGGAGGTGCCGCAGTTCTTCCTCAGCCACTCTGCATGGTCTCTGGCCAGGTATCCCTTTCCGCTGGCCCCTTTCCTTTGTCTTGTTGGGATGGCCCCGATTGTCCTCGCCCGGTTTCGCCATCATGGGTCGATCCCCCCTGATGCGATCCTAACGCTGTCTGTACCAGCGCTCTCATTTCCCTCATTGATTGAGCAAACATCTGGGTCATGCTCTGCTGCATGTCTCTGAGCCCAGTTGTTACCTTTTTATCGAGGGTCTGTAGTTCTGTAACGAACTGCAGCTCCCTGGTTCTCCGACGTCGTCGTTCCTCATCTAACTCCTTCCGGAGTCTATCCAGGCCTGTACAGACCTCTTGATCTCTATTCACCAATTCTTGGATGGTGCGTTCTAGGTTCTGGTGCACCTGTCCACTGACCACTGCTTGCTGTTCCAATCGCTCGTGCATGTGAGCGAGTGCCGCTTCGATCACTCCCTTAAGTCTGGTGATCTCGGCCACTACCCCTCCTTCCAGTTTCCTAATCTTATTTTGCCAGAGCGCCAATTCCTCCCCCACCAGCTTCCCCCTGTTCAGAAGTCGCTCTCTTACTTGAGCAAGACCTTCTGCCGTCTCTTTCCCCTCGTCAGATAGGGTCAGTAGGCGACCATCTGGTGATTTTGGGTTCGAGTAACGCTGCGGTCCAACGGTCCGATCAGTGTCCCAATGTATGCAGTGACAGCGCCCAAGTCGGTAGCACCTGAGGTGGTTGGGGTCCTCGAGCATGACCTCTGCCCGCTTCGTCTTTTTGGGACGCTTTGAGTTAGGCCCCTGGGTACTGTTGGCCCCGACGGGTTCCTAGGTGTGGGTGTGGAACCTAGCTGTAGTGGTGGGATATCACCTCCTAGAGGTGGTGGTAGAAGTGGAAAGGGGCTATCTTGGCCCAGTCCCCATGCAGAGATCAGCCGCTGCTGGCTCTCAGCGTGTAGCATGTCGGTGTCACTAGAATCTTCTGATCCTTCTTCGATTCTTGGTTGCGACATCTTGCCTCTTCTTTCTATGAGTGTGAAGTGTTTGAGGGCCCACTTGATCCCGTGATCAGTGAACCAGAAGGGAACATTTTCGTTGTCAAAGACTTCGCTTATGGTGAGATCAAACTCGGTCCCATGTATGTGCATATTTTGTTGGAGGTATAGGTCAGATAGGTGGTTGAGGGTATGGAATAAGTACTCCTCCAGGCTTATTAAAAGAGGTGGTTGTAAGCCTCAGTAGTGTAGAAGTTATCAATATAGTGTTAGGCGGTAGCCGACTCTAAGGACAAGCGAGTGAAGACTAAGGCCCGATACGTGATGAAGTGATTGCTCGGAAGTCTCACTTAAGATGTCAAGATGAAGTGTAAAGCGTATCATAGAACAAATATATTGATAAGATCTCTTCTCCGTCGCTGATGATTCTTGTAAAGCATGGGAGGCACCTTGATATTTATATTCCATGTCTTGGTGTTCGTGGCCTATCTACTCCTCCCACCTTTCCTCTCTGCGAACTTTGTAGACCCTGAAAACCTTTACCCCGCTTGACTCTGATTTCCCCAAACTGCCGAGTGGGTGTCCTACCCCTCTCTTCGTAGCATTCGCGCTAATCGTAGTCACTCGAACCCTTTCACCATGGCAAATGGTTACTGGTTCTGTCTCTGCATACGAAATGATCAGCTCCGAGGACAGACTTATCAATGCAGTCAGATTTCTCATCCGCCTGTGTCAACCCACAGCAAGTAGATTCCTGCCTTATGGTGCCAATGGCGGCTAGGCCTCATTGCGCTCAAGGTTGGCCTTTCACATGATAGGCCATCATCTGACTCTACCTTATCATGCTTTTTGGGCATGGGCGAACGATCGTCTCTTGGGTGTCGTCCCCTCATCAGGATTTTCCTCTGCATTCCTCCACCAACGGACTTGAAATTCGGTCTTACTGCCCACATGGCAGCCGGGAACTCCTATCGGAGTGGCCGATCTCCCCCCGGTTGGCATCCATCCATTGGTGCAGCTGAGGGATCTTTGCATACGTTTATCTCCACAACCAACCGACTGATTTGGTACGTTCGACTTCGTCAGGATAGCCGAGAGTCCTCCCTTGAAGACTCTGTGAAAACCCCTCGGTCGGCAACCTTCAGTGGTGGCGTAAATGAGGGTTTTGTGCCAGTGTTATATTGGTAGAAATTAACCCTTTCTCCAAATACTCCGGCGAACCCTGGAGTCGAACACGTGACCTTTTGCCATTAATCACATGACATGCCCATTACGCTATGCCAGTTCATCTTGTGTGTAACAGTTTCTTTATTGGGCTTCAGGAGATTTTCTTATTTTTAGTGTCGTACAAGGACTTTTCACTTGTGATTATTTCTTCAAACTTGGTATAAATTCCCTTACACCCTCTTGAAGTTATACATATTTTATGGGATTTCCTGGGCAGGTTCTCAGGGTCAAAACCTGTTCACACTTATGTTTTCCTACTTGTAATATAGTTTAATATGGCAATACTTATGTTTTTCCTTTATATTTTTCTCTTGATTATATGAAGGGCACACACCAATAGATATAGGAGCTACTACCACAGTCTTCACTTAAGAAAATTAAGAGCTTGATTATCTACCAATTTGTCTTCATACAAACTACTTCTCCTTGTTCAACATGCCCATGACAGAACTCTTACTCTCACATAGTATAATCTATATTGCTATTAAGATTGTACCATTTACAAAATTCAATAATATGAACTAATACCTATATGTGGAGAACTGTAATATACTTGAAAAGAGCGTGTATGCAGTAACTGAGACCAGAAAAAAATTGAATTTATGACTGCACCTACATTTGAATATCATGAGAGGAAATTGAATCAGTTTTGTTTTATTCCACCTTGCCACCCCTCTCTTCATTCCACTGCCCTCAATATCAAGTCTAGTGCTTGTCACTACTACTGGGCTATAGGTGTTGAAACTCGTGATTGGGCAGTCCTCCTTCGTACCAGATTTGTCAACTGATAGACCCAGAAACCATAGTCTTAGCCCGGAAGAGTACAGTTTCGGCTACTAGTCACTCCGGCTATATTCGGACGTCGTGGTATCTGGAGGTCTTCATCATTCTCTGTTATTTATAGCTCTTGTATTCTCAATCTCTTCAGCACCAACCCAGTTACTTACTATTGCCCCTCTCGCCTCACAGTTTTACAACAACTAGTTGGAAATATCCTACGAGTGATCGGACATGACTGCAAACAAACCTTGGCTTGAGCCCGCAGCTCAAGTCCCCCATATGATACTATCCTAGTTAGAACCCATGCTCAGCTCGAGCTGACTGATGAGGAATAGCATGTCAGAATAGTGTCCTAGACACCTACAAGTTTAGAGAGCTAACTTAGGTATGTTAAGAACTCTTTTTGGCAACTCCCTCCAAACATACCTCCGATGCTGGACCCAACCCTCGCTTAGGGCCATGAGATGATTTGAGACGGAAACAAAAAAATAGCACTTAAGTTTTGAAGGACGGAATTTCCTACAGTATCTTATGCATCCGGTACCCGAGACTGACTGGCATATCCCAGGTTTTGACTCTATTCATATAACTAGCATGTGAAGTAGAATAAATTATCCGGCAGAAATTTTGGACAAGGTTGAATTTTTTCTAAAAGCAGTTTGACCGGGGAAAAAATGATACAGTTCTATTGCAAAAAGGTGCGGGCGACAATCTCAGACTTTGGCAATTCCAGCAATTTCTCCCTCGACCGGTCCCAGTTTGCAAACTCAATGGATCTGTTGTTATTATTACCCAATATCCTTTTCTTTTCCTATAAAAATTGTTGTGGGCGCATGGTTTAGGGGTATAATATCTCATTTGCAATGGCTTTTCCGAAGCCATGAAATTTGAGATGGTCCTGGGTTCGATTCCCAGTACGTCCAAGCTTTTGTTCTTTTTTGTTTCTGTGCGTTGTTTGTCCCAAGTCATAAGCACCCGAAAACAAAAGGGGGCATATTTTGTACCGGTATGGGGTCTTAGATACGTACAGATTTTTCACCGTATATCTCTTTTATCCCTGTTTTCTCGTACTTGCAGTCTGGGCCAAGTACTGTTGTAAATGAAGCTGTTCAAACATCATCCCACAACCGAAATACGATAATAATAAATGAGAAAGCATACCGGTACGCTTAAAAATAGGCGGTTTTCTCACGTATGATACCACCCCACTACGTACTTAAGGGAGTGAAAGGTTACTATGAGGCTGCGGGGCAGGGTTCGGTTTTAGATGAAACAAAAAGTAACCCTCTGAGATTTGGCAACAAAAACTAATATCATATGATACAACCGACAGCCCTAGCATCGTGCCCTTAAACCCGATTCACACCTGCATTGATCCCTCCAGTCTCCAGCTGCCCCAAAACTCCCCACCATCAGAGATTGTGCACAACGCCACAAATACCATCAAAAAAAAACCCCCCAGCCACATCCATATATATAGTGTCCTCTCTACCGGTATGATACCTCTCAGAGTTCAGACTGCATATTCAAACCAACCCACACCACACACCGTCACTCGCCAATCCCTGCCATGGCTCCCTTCAACCTCTCCGCAACCCTTAACGCTCTGAGAATCCTAAAATCCCCGACGCTCCTTTACCCACAGCTCACAATTCCCACCTTCGACTATCTACCTGTCCCTCTTTCCCCAGCATTGAAAGGAGATATCCGTGCGGTAATCTTGGACAAAGATAACTGCTTCACGGTGCCATATGCCAAGGAGGTTTACCCGGCGTATAAAGATGCGTTTGAGAGGCTAAGGAAGGAATATGGAGATCGGTTATTGATCGTTAGCAATTCGGCAGGAACAGATGATGATGTTGGCCATATCGAGGTTTGATGTGCCCGCACCGTTTTCAAAGGGGAAAGGGCTTTTGAACTAACGCAGAATCGGCTAGGCGGAGGTATTAGAGAAGAACACGGGGGTGAAGGTCCTGCGTCATTCTACAAAGGTATTGGCTAATTTGGCTTCCCGGATGCGGTTTGCGAGAGGGAGATGGGTTGACGGGATGACTAGAAACCGGGATGTTACCCTGACATCATGAGTTACCTGGCGAGTAAGACGGATGTCAAGAGAGCAGACCAGGTCGCAATTGTGGGGGATCGACTCTTCACAGATGTGCTCATGGCGAATATGATGGGATCCTGGGCAGTCTGGGTCAATACTGGAGTGGTAGACCCTAAACGGACCCTTGTATGCCCCTTTCTACTTGGATGCTAGTATTAAGTACTGAAATAGCTAATACCGAGAATCCAGCATGGTCGAGTCGAGAGAGGGTTATTAGGTGTCGTTAAATGGGGCGGTGGAAAGGCCCCGGTGCCGACTGGGGATGTTTGGCGGTAGAATGGATGTACTTGCCTAGTACCAGTATACCGTGCGTGCAGTGCGGTGCTTTTAGTGCCGGCGTTAGAGGTTGGCATTCAACCAGGTCTGATACTTGCCGATCAAGCTGCATTCAACTGCTTGAGTAGCCTTACGGCAGCTGAGCGCTTCCCCCCCCCCAAGTCCCCCATTTATTCGCCGGAGGGAGGCGTTATTACTATATCTCTAAAGCCCTTTTGTCTTCTGTGAATAGCTAGCGCTCTTGTACTCGTACTGTACAGTACTAGTACGGCATTCTGCGGCATCTGCTCGATACCATACCCCTGGCAACGGGAATAAATTTAGGCTACTTTCGGGCCCAAAACTGAGTGATTACGAGTGACCGAGCGCGACCCCTGGGTTGGCAAATCTGGGGGGCTTCAAACCGGAGCCTGAGAAATATTCGTATCATACCGTTCGTTGGACTCTCCAAAAACGGCTGAGATCCCCTCCTACTTGTAGGAGATGCTAGGAGTCTGGGACGGAGTGACGATTGATGACGCGGCTTGGGGCTGAGCCGCACGACAAATGCATTGTTGTCCTTAGCGCTCTTTCCGCCAAGCATCCCAGCTTCTATTTCGGAGCCCCAGTCCCGATCCCTTTTCTCTTCGACGAAACGAACCGGAAAAGCAGCAAAAACATCAAACAACACCCCTCCCCCGGATCTGTTTCCCTCTCACTTTTTCCAAATGCATCGCTGGCTGCAAGCTGGCTTGCTCGCTGCTTTCGCGGGTAGTCTTGCGGTTGCAGACGAGGTCCCCCTGGTATGTCTGGGCTCCATCGTATACCTTGGGATGGTAATGGTGGATCTTTCGGGAGGCGGACGAGGAGTACTAATGTATCTGATTTGATGGGATAGAAAAGCGGGGGCGAAGAGCAACAATGTTCGGGAATGTATAATAGGAAGGCGTGGGGCGGAAATATCGATCCTGCTATCACCATCAAGTTCACGCCCCACGAGGAGGATCATTCTATCAGTCTCGTCATCTTCGAGTGGAACGATGAAGAATATCTCGGGCGGTATCTTAGCGAGGACTCTTTCGATGTGTGTTTTCCCTGCGCGACCCTTCGTCTGTGGAGGTGGGGGCTAATGGTGATTGGGGGGATTACAGAAAAAATACATCTGTACCGACGATTCTGTCCGTGCGGAGCTCTGCAACTCGACCGATGTCGGCAGATTCATACTGGAACCGGAGACAAATAGGAGCTCCACTGGAAGTATATTCAATATAAAACTCAACCTGAAGGAAGTCAAGCCAATTTTGTATCCGATCAAAAGGACGGGATATTACTGTGTTTGGTCAAACGCTTTCTCTCCCGGTGATCTCAAGTACGATGGTGTTGTTACCTTCCAGAACTCTTATGGAGAGCTACCGGCGTCACAGATTGCGAAGTTGTCGTTCTACGGAGGTCTTACAATTGTGTATGCGCTTATTAGTGCCTTATGGGCGTTCTTATACGTGCAGCATCGGAGAGATATTTGTGAGTTTTGTCTCTTGGACAGGCGGAAGGGGAAGCGCACTAATGAAAAGCAGTGCCGGTACAAAACTACATTACTGCAATTTTGATCTTCCTAATGCTGGAAATGCTGATTACTTGGGCCTTCTACGACTACACGAATGCTCACGGATCTAACACTGGCGCTAAGATCTTGATGATTCTCGTCGCAATTCTGAACGCTATAAGGAACTCATTCTCATTCTTCTTGCTACTCATTGTCTGCATGGGATATGGTGTTGTGAAGTAAGGCTCACTTATGGCGAATAGCGAACTAGCGCTAACTTGAGATGTAAAGGCCGAGTTTGGGCGCCATGATGAAGTGGGTGCGGTTCCTAGCTCTCGCTCATTTCCTCTTCGGCATGGTTTACGCTATTGCCTCGTTGACCATCACACCCGATAATGCCGGCCCTCTCGTCATGCTCGTTATCCTGCCACTTGCTGCAACTCTTACAGCATTCTACATCTGGACTCTCAATTCACTCAAGCTTACCATGAAGGATTTGTTCGACCGTAAACAGAACGTCAAGTTGCTCATGTATAAGCGCCTCTGGTGGGTGCTTGTTGGGTCCATCATGGTCATCTTTGGGTTCTTCTTCCTTAACTCTTTCACGTTCACCCGTCATGGCTCACCGGACTTTGTTCCTACGCATTGGAAGACCAGATGGTTTGTCCTTGATGGATGGCTCAATCTGGTCTATCTTGTAGACTTGTCTGTTATTGCCTATCTTTGGCGCCCGACTGCTAACAATCGCCGGTTCGCCATGAGTGATGAATTGGCCCAGGATGACGATGGATTCGAGATCGCAAGTATGGTTGACTCTGAGGAGGGTCGTGATGAAGAGATGGGGATTGGCACTCCCAACGCCGAGGCCTCGAGACCATTACAGCCTGTACAGCCATCACCGGTAACGAAGCGGTCGTTGGATAGGAGAGATTCAGTAGAAGGCGAGACAATGTTCTCTGTGGGAGAAGATGACCGGTGGAGTGGCGATGAAGATGATAGTGATGACGACGAGGAGTCAAAAAAGGGGTTGACGGGGAAGAAAAAGGAATAGATCTCCCTTAACATTAGGGTAGCCACGGGTTTGTGAAGTTCTTGTGTTCTCGGGTGCTTTTTTTCTTAGGTTTATGTGTTTTTACTCTGTTTCAGTTACTCAAATGTATCATGGTTGGGTGGGTCTTAGGTGTTGAATGGAGTGAGATGTGGTATTAGTCGCGATCTCGGGGCAAGGTTACCCGCAAGTTTGTGAATTCCAGCATAGTTTAGCCGGATCCCCCGCCGCCGCTGAATTGTCAAACGGTATCATAAGACACGGTGTTGACTCAGCCTATATCATACTCGAGTATATCATTGGTTGCCAACCAACCATTCCAACGCCAAGGCGAGAATTCCGCAACAACTTGAGCCCCACCCCTCCTCTATCCACCTCTCCCACCACCACCAGCACTCCCACAAGCAACCACAAGAAACCACAATGCTCCACTCTTACTCCGAAGACATAATATATTCCGACTCAGATGCCGACTCCCCAAACCCCCTCGCTGCAGCCCTCGTGACCCGCGCCCACAGACTCCTAGACTCCCTGGAGTCGCTGCAAACCCACCTGCGCCGCCACTCGTTAACAAAAGAGGTTGAAATCCGACCCTTCGCGACCTCGTTGCGGAGCGAAACGCGCACGCTCGAGGCCCTCGCTACTACCCCGCCCACCCCGGAAGCCACGCATTCCCTGCGCAGCTCGAACTTAAGCTACCTCGAGGCCGTGTGGAAATGCGCGCGTGCGCAGGTGGGGGTTCGCGGGATTTGTCAGAGTTTTGGGTTCGTTGACAAGGAGGGCGAGGGGGGTGATCGGGGGGACGGGGGTTCTTCAAATGATAGGAAGGGGAAGAAGGGGAGTGTCGGTGTGGACGTGGTCGCCGAGAATGGGCTCGTCTGGATCAAAGTTTCCACCATCACGGCCGAGAGGGTTGTGCATTCGCTGGCGAAGGGTGGATGGGAGGATGCGGAGGGGGAGATTGGGCTCG